GGAAGTAGAGTAAGTGGATTATCATCAGTGCTTCAGATATTGGTAGCAAGTACTGGGATTGTACCAGTGGTATGGAATCACATCCGGGTTGGGAGTCTGTTGAGGTTGCGAAATGATTTTCGGTAGTGTAGAACCAGAGGAGTTCGGAAGGGATGTAAGGAGGGAGCCTTGGATTTTCTGTATGGGTGTGATCAGGAGGTGATGTATCTAGTAGTAATTCATTCCAAGGATGTCTGGAGGTATCGTCAGTGTGTCGGGTTTTCCACCCCGAGGATGTTAGAGTAGATTCAGCCTGCGTATGTGATTGCAAGGGAGATCTCATGAGAGTTGCTCAGGAGCTGAAGGATGTGTCATCCTGTCAGCTCGCAAAGAAACAAGTTGGATTCGGAAAGGAAAGCGGGATAAGTCCCAAAAGTGAATTCGATAAAGGATATGAGAGTTGAGTAAAAGGGTAGCAGCTTGGTACCGGGTCAGGACCCGGTGGTCTAGGGTGATGTCTAGCTTTGTAAGGGTCAAGTAACTGTTGGATTTGGGGTGATGAAAGTATCATCGGGTGATCATTGGTTAATGAGGGTCGTTATCGGAGAAAGAAGCCGGTGGCCGGCTTGAATCAGTTGTCGTAACTTTGGGAGCGAAGATTTGGACTTTATTGAGGTTTGATAGCAGCGATTGGAGGAACCTGGGTCGGTCGATACCAGGAGGTGCATTGTGGGAGTATTATCGGGAATTGTGTGCTGCAGCAGGCTTCGAGGACGAAGCCTAATTTAAGTGGGGGAGAATTGTAACACCCCGAGTTCATAAGTGCAAGTTCAGGGTTCTTAGTGTAAATAAGGAAGGCCGACTCGGCGAGTTGATGGATAGACTCGGCGAGTCGGGTCGCGATTCTGGTCACGAGTTAAGTGACCAACTCGGCGGGTCGGAGGTTGGACTCGGTGAGTTGGTGCTGGAATGAGAGAACACCTAATCCCGAGTTTGTGCCATATATAAAGAACATAATACCCTCTCCTCTGCCTCTTTGCATTCCCTTTGAGTCCCAGAAACCCTAATAGCCGTGAGGGAGAGCTTGGAGAGTGTTTGGAGCTTTGAGGAGTGAATTTTGTGGAGGAGACTTGAAGAGCAAGAGGGAACCATCAAGGATTTCGTGTGGATCTAGAACCCACTCCAGTTTGGGACATATTTGTGAGGTATTAAGCTGTTACCTTGACCTTTTCTTCTAGAATCATTCTTATGTGGAGGCTAGGGTTTTCGTTGGTTAAGGGAATTGTTATAGAAGCTAGATCTGAAGCTAAAACTTTAGATCTGAACCTCTTTTGGGTTCTAAGTTCATAAAGTTTCAGTCCTTGGAGGATTGGTGAATCCCCTTTTGTCTAAAACCCAAGCCCTAGTATGTTTTGAGTTGATATCTCCTTGATATCACGTAAAGTTTGCAACTTTACATGAGGGGTAGCTTGAAGAAGGATAAATCTATGGATATGAGCCCCAACATGGCTTAGAAAGCCATTACATGGGTTAAGAACGGGAGATACTCGGCGAGTCGCATGGGTGGACTCGGCGAGTTGGATGAAGATAGGCGGGAACTCGATGATTTGGAAGAACAACTCGACGAGTCTGTGGAATGTTGCCTTGGACTCGGCGAGTCTGTTCTTGGACTCGACAAGTCTGGTCGAGGATTCCTAACCTTTCGGGTTGAACGGTGAATCGGCGAGTCGAGGGGTGACTCGGTGAGTTGAGCGTGAAGGGATTCAGAGTTGTTGGACTCGACGAGTCTTGGGGCGACTCGGCGAGTTGAATTGCGGTATGGGAGTTTCAGAGCATGGGGACTCGACGAGTCAGCGTGTTGACTCAACGAGTAGAGTCAGTCAGGAAGTTTGACTTTGACTGAGGACTTTGACTTTGACCAAGAGTTTACCAGTTGACTTCCAGGGGTATTTTGGTGATTATTGGTATTTATTGAGTTCAGTCTTTTTGGTATTGATCAATGGTGGAGTTCGTATCGGAGGTGGGAGCAACGTGATCTTATCTTTTTAGTCAGTAGTTGCGAGGTAAGTTATCCTCACTATATCAACAGGGTCTAAGACACCAAAGTCGGCCCTTTATCGGATGGGAATCCGGGTAGTTGTGTGCTATGTTATTGCTTTATTATGTTTGCATCCTGGTAGTTAGGATGGTATATGTTAGAGACCTGGTTAGGGTCGGTATCCTGGTTTATAGGATGATGCTAGGCTAGTGACCGGTTAGGTCGGAATCATGGTTAGAGTATATTATGCATGTGATATGCTAGATCGGTTGATTGGTGATTAATTATTATATGATGATATATTTATGTGCACATGGTTGGTTGGATGGGGTTGGGTTGAGGCGGGTCCTAGTTTGTGCTGTAGGCCAACACACCCAGGGCGGACCGGATATTCCGAAGGCCCAGCGAGTGGTCCTGATAGGTTGTAGGCCCCACGAGGGCAGACCAGACGTGCCGAGGCTCGGAGAGTGGAGCAGGCTGACTGAAGGCCCGGTGCGGGCGGACCAGTCATACTGTAGACTCAAAGAGTGGACCAGGTGGGTTGAAGGCCTAGTGTGGGACCAACCACACTGCATACTCGATGTATATGGCTAGACTCGGAGTGTGGACCAGGTGGACTGAAGGCCCGGTGCGGCGGACCAGTCACACAGTAGACCCGAAGTGCATGGTTGTTATGTTATGTTATGATATGTTCTGTGTATGGTATATGAGGTTGGTATTTTGGGGGTATCTCATTAAGTTTTCGGGCTTACAGTTGTGGTTTAATGTTTCAGGTACTTCAGGAGACCGTGGCAAGGTAAAGGCGTGATCGTACCGCTCCTCATGTTTTCTGTGTTTTATGATGTGGTTATGGGAAAATACTTTGATAATAGATGTAACGAAAACCTTTTTGTAATAACTTAATGAAATTGGGTTGTTTTTGAAAAGTTTAAATTGGTTGAAATTTTAGAGCGTTACACACTTGACATTAATAGATGCTCACACAAAGCTTTTGTTAGAAAAATATATCAATTTGTTTTTTATGACTAAATACCAATTATCAATAGAACATGTATAGATCTTTTTCTTTTTGAAAATAGTACTAAATAAATTATATGAATAAAGAAAACAAATTATAATATAACAACTATTGTAATTTAAAACTAATTTGAGAAATAAAATGACCTTTCAAATCAAATGTGAGGGAGCCATGCCACGATTCTTGAAAAATATCACCACTATTTGATTTCCATCCCTCAAGATGTGGTTGAGTATTAAAATACCTATACATGCCTTGTTGGGCTCTAACTTTGAATATTACACAAAAAGTATCAGATACGGTGCTTTGATCAAGATTAATTCCTAGGTTGCCAAGTAGTTCTTGCAATGTGGTATTTTAGGGCATGCATCACATAGATACATCAAATAAATTTAAAATAGCACAAATCATAGATATTGGATATTAGCTAAATTAGAAAAAGGCAATTATTCATAGAAATTAGATTAAGAAACAAAGAACAAAATAACGGGTTTGATTAGTACCATTTGTAGCTCAATTCAAGTTTAATGATATCCACTTTAACTAAATTCCTTCTATGTTGCTTGAAGAGGCCTTCCTTATATTTTTTTTATTGAGATAAACATAAGCAATCAGTTGTGAGAAGTAAATCATATATATCTAATTGATACATCAAAAAGATAAACATAAAAATGAAAGTAAATTACTTGTGTGTATGAGAAGTAAAATTCAGTCATAGTTTAAGAACCAAAGTTCATTCCACATATTTAAAAAGAAAAGCCACAATCACATACCATTTAGGTTTCTTCACAATGAAGAGTTAAACATGTAGCTTCTCAGCTTATTTGGTTACCGCCTCTGTTTCTAGCCATCATTCTTCTTCCTTCCTTATCACCAAGCTCTGTGTCAACATAATCACTTTACGAACCCTACAGGGGTAAATACGAGCATTCACTATTTGTGGATGTTCCTAGGGGAATATCAGGTAGAATTAAAGCAATTAAAGAATGTCTAACTATAAAAAACTCAAACAAAGATCCAAAATAGAATAACCTCTACAGGAAGGAGAATAGTAATTAATGAAGCCATAATCGTGAACCTCTTTTTGAGTTGTATTAGGACTTTCTTCATCAAAACTGAAAGGAACGGGAAAAAAAATATATCCAATTCAAAATATGATGCATAGGGGAAATAATCCTTAAAATCAAACCCCCAACCGTACCTCGACTTGACAGATCCGCCTTCATAACTTCGAGGTAGCGTTGGATGTCAGATGGAACTCTTAGTTGAGGAGTAACGACGTGGACGCAGTGATGGTGGTGGGTTTAGCAGACGATGGAGAAGCTAGGATTTTAACGATTAGAGGAGATACGAGGAGAAACAAAGAATCCTAATTGATTAGGAATAGGGTTGCAGGAGAGAAAGAATCCTAATGGGAAGATAAGTGCAAAATAGAAGGTGGGACTCGGAGGTTAAAGGAGGATTGTTGCTAAAGAGGAAGAGAAAAGGTAATAATTTATGGAAAACACAAGAAATCAGCCTGCGTGATCGGGAGATTTGCCGATTTAAAATTTTAAATTGCAAAAAAATAGGAAGACAATGAATAATGAATAGACGAGATTTAGGTTTTTATGTATTTGGTTAAGGATGATGTCAGCAAATATTCCAAAGGTGGAAGATATATGATTGAAAAACAATCAATGGTCATGATTTCTTCGATTTAAAATTAAAGATTCTCTTTTAATAATATTTAGAGATTAGAGATTATTTGACTATGAAAATATATGTTATTTTATTAGATCGAATAGTATATTTTCAAAGTCCAGGGGGCTAAAGCAAACGTTATGGTCTACATGACTACATATACGCCAATCGAGTTTTGTGTTTGGTTTTGATCGGGGAAAGCACGGATTCTCTGTTGAAGATTTTGGAAGAAGGACAAATCAACGTGAAATTGCCCAGAAACGGATTAAATGTCAAGAAATCATGGAGAAGGGGGAAGATGATGGAATCAGTGCGTTGCCTGATTGTTTGCTTCTTGAAATCCTCTCTCGTTTGCCGTCCACAAAAGACGCCATCATAACAAGTACACTCGCCAAGCGATGGGAACATGTTTGGACTTGGGTACCTTCTCTGATCTTTAAGCATTCAAATCATTCCTTCGAAAACCCTAACTCAAGTTCCGATTTCGCATCATTGGTGGACAAAACCCTAACTCAATGTCGCCAATTGAAGCTCAAGAAATTCCAAGTGCATACCTTTTATGATATTCGATTTGAATCGCAGTTCAACAATTGGATTCATTATGCTATAAGTTGTAACGTTGAAGAGCTTAACTTGAAGTTTTTGGGACGGGAACCTGAGTTTTTGTTAGATCAATTTTTGTTCAATAATTCATGTTTTACCGATGTGAGATTAGCAGGATGTAAGTTGAATCCAACTGGGGCGATTAGTTGGGAAAATCTTAGGAGTTTGTGTATTTCCAATGTGAATTTAGATGAAGACTTGATTGTAAAAATATTATCCGGGAGTCCTCTATTGGAAACTTTGGTAGTGGAATATTGCTATGGTCATGGGCGGCCCAATATTATTTCAGATGATGAGTCTGAATCTGAATCTGAAGGCAGTGATATCATCAAAATCAGAATGAGTGCTCCTACTAGTTTATCACCAACTCAATGTCCCAAACTCAAGAAATTCAAAGTGTATACCAGTTATGATGTTCATTTTCAGTCGCAACTAAACATTTGGATTCACTATGCTATTAGATGTAATGTTAAAGAGCTTGACTTGGAGTTTTGGAATACGGATTCAGAATATGAGTTTATATTGGGTCAAATTGTTTTCACCAGTTCATGTTTTACCGAGCTGAGAGTAAATGGATGCATGCTCAATCCAGTTGGGGAGATTAGTTGGAAAAGTCTTAGGAGTTTGTGTATATCTGGGTACCAGAGTTTAGATGAAGATTCGATTGAAAATATATTATCTGGGAGTCCTGTATTGGAAACTTTGATTTTGGATAATTGCTATGGTTATAACCGGCTCGATATTACTTCAAAGAGTGTTAAAAACTTGGTGTTACGTGGATACAAGGATTTTTCTTATGTTGAATCTGAAGCTGATATCATCGAAATCAATGCTCCTAATATTTTGTCACTAACAATTGACCATGACGTATCATTGTGTAAGCTTTTATTGCTAAATGTGTCTTCTTTAGTCAAAGCTCACTTAGATTATACTTGTACAAAGCTCACAATGCCGCCTAATGAAGTGGAAGAAGAGGTGCTTAAAGGATGTATAATCAATCTTCGCCATGTCACGGAGGTTGAACTTGGGTATTTATGTTCTAAGGTAAAAATTTCTTTTGCTTTTTCCCTTTTGGATAAACTTGTTTCAATCAATATTTTCACTTTTGTTGTCTTTCTTCTTCTACTTTGGCTGGTAGGCTATTTCTTGTTTGCAAGCTAAAGGTTTCGTTCTTCCATCAAATGTGAAGCTTAGTGGAGTAAGGTGATTTAGGGAGCTGCTCTTGCATGATTATGAGGGACACTGATATGATACACGGTGTTAACTTATTGATAATGCTTTTTTGCTTTGAGTTCATGTTTAGCCACTTAAGTTATCATGAATTATTTTCATCTCTTTTTCTGATACGTTTGTAAACTAGACTTGGTTCGATTGGGTTGTGGTGAATGGTGAGTGGTGAATTACTATTATAGTTTTGAAGTTTCATATTTGTTAGTAATATCTCTTCTTCAGTGAGTTGATGCCATTGCCATTTCTTTAAGCAAAATGGACAGTTATTTTCTTGGTATGCTTTTGCCTTGACCAACATAAGTGGTGTGGTTTTGTTGAGTTTTGGAGTATGATGTTGTCTAATGTTTGTGAAGTCACAGATTTGTTGGGTCATTGTATTAAGTAAAAAAGGAGGATGCTATCTATTGGTTTCCATTAACTTAATCTCTTTGGTTTTACAGCAGGCTAGATCTGTTAAATATGATTAGTTTTTCTTTTCTCTGTTATCTTATTTTCTTTCCTTTTACATCAGGTTAATTCTGATTAGGATCTGTTGGGATCTTAAATGGGTTTCAGAAACAGCAATGTACCTATATTTTTGTTGGAATCCTTTATAATATGATACTAATTGTGAGATCCATGTATTACATGGATTTTTTTTTTTTTTTTAAAGTTAAATATAAAGATCAAAATATATGAGAACTTTGAATTTATAAGAAAATAAAAAAATAATGAATTATTATAATGGAAATGTTTTTTATCTTTTAAAATTAAATAAAAAAATAAATTAGTAACCTTTAATTTTGGGAATTTTGAAAGTAAAAGGTAAGTTTATTAATGAAATTAATATCAATTTATTGCTATATTTATTGCAGTTATTACATTAAAGTATTATGCGAAATTTAATAAAATAAAAAAAAAAACTCATAAAATGACACGTGGAAAAAAATTAATTCAAAATAGTTACAAAATGACAATGAGAGTATAACAAGTGACAAAAAAATTAAAATGCAATAGGATGGCTCAAGAAACAACAATGTACCTTGGTTTGAATCCTATAAATAAATAGGAATCTCACTTATTGTTTTGCAATTTTTTATATCTTTATCATATAAAATGATTAATTTTTGTTGTTTGTAATGGATCATTTCTTTCGTTTCCTATTTTTTCTTTGTAATGGACTAGCCATTGCTTATTATGGATGGTATTCTTTGTAATAATAAATTTAACAAAAAAAAACACTTACTTTAAAAAATTTTACAGCTTTTTGCTAACGTTAAAAAAAGAAAGACAAGTAAAATTCAATGTTGGCATAAATTTGAATATATGGATGGTATTTTTTTTTTTAAATTGTGTACTTACTGAAAATGATACATAAAATTGTGTACCATTTTCAACACTTACACTATTAAAAAATATTATCAAATTTTTCGAAATTGATACAAAATATTTAATAGTAGTGCCATTTATTTCTTTAACATTATCAAGAAACACAATCATTTTTTATACAAGAATGGATTTCAATAAAGTAACTTCACAAAAGCGGGGAGAAAATAAAATCCAAGGACCAAAGGCGATATTGTGAATTCCACGAATCCACGGGACATGATACCTTCGAATGCACTATGTTAAGAAGGGAGTTGGCAAACAAGATGCAGTCAGGACATCACACCCACTTGATAAAAGGCCTCCGGTCTAAACACCTCGAAAGCATCGCACCGGTAGAACCAAAAGTGCAAAATGCAAGGAAAAACAAAAATTTTATGCTACAACACTGTGACCGGCAAGCGCCAAATGGGATTACAGCCATGACTTCCACAAGGGAGACGATTCGATTATTATCAACAACCTCATGGGAAAAATCCATGCAAGCGATATCTATGTATATAACGGAAGCTCTACGGATGTCATGTATAAACACTTTTTCAAACAGCTACCCGGGAATGTACGCGCAAGAGCAAGCCCACCAGAAAGTCACTTAGTATGCTTTGCCAGCCATAATGTATAGAAGGAAGGGATAATTACCCTACCACTAACCCTTATCGATTATCCGCACGGGAGGAACAACACGCATTTAATACGTTTCATTACAATTAATGCACCTTCACCTTACGACCTCATCATTGGGCGCACGACGCTGCATAAATTCAAGGTCATTGCATCAACGAAGCTATAAAAATTAAGTCAAAGTCGGGTGTGATGGGTTATGAGCATTCGAACACTCCTATGGTGTACATACAGCCCTATAAACCTTGGATCTATGTTTTCTCTATTATACATGCAAATATTCAATATTCCAAGGTTTCATCCTAACTAGCATAATATGAAGTATATACAATACAAGAATCTAGTAGAATGACATACCTTTTGATGGAGCTTGAAGTCTTGAACCTTTAAGAGCATAGTGCCCTAAGTGTTGCACCTCAAATGGTTCATACAACACCAAAAACACTTGGAAGAACTTGAGAAGAAGGTTACTTATGAAAATCGGCTTTGCCCTCTTTTGTGTATGTACTAGTCCCCATTTCATGAACCATAGACCTATTTATATAGTGTGGAGGATTAGGGGTTACATTCATGTAAACCCTAATGCTCATGACCTTTCATTTCCATAGGATCCATGGGTTAAAACCCCATGGACTATCCATGCAAGTTTAGTCCAACCTAAATGAATTTGGCCCATCCTATATATATATATATATATATATATATATATATATATATATATATATATATAAGAGTCCATATTTAATTAGTTCATTTTGATCACCAAATTAATTCTAAATTAATTCTTGATCAATACTAATTAAATAAGATGATTTCATATTAGTATATTAGAACTTATAATATATTAATAGAAATCATAAGTATCCTTTTTCTCATTTTGTCTATCCAATTGTTCTGATGCCATGCAACCCAAATGGACCATGCTAATCTCGGGTCGACTACATACCAATAATAGTTATGGGCTTCGACAATTAATCCAACAGGGTGTCGGGACAATATACACCAAAATAAGATCAGAACAAGGCAAGAAGACTGACGAGGATCACCTGGACAACGTCCCAAGTTGGTTCGAAATCCAAACAGATTACCAAATAATGGAGCAAGGGGTTAGCCCGAGCACCACCCCAGAAATACCACACAACAGTCAAGGTTCATCAAACGTACAAACAGAAGACGACCCATGCCTAAAACAAGCGTTACAACTGCTCGCCACTAGGGAATCATGGAAAAGCACAGAAGGCAGCATATCGGTAACTGTTAAGAACCACAAGTAGACAATAAGCATTGCGCCAGCCAACACAGAACCTGCACGAACAAGGAAAAATGAATAAGTTGGTGAAATCCGGGATGAAACAAGAACTTTCACCATAAGCACGTATAAAACAGTCCAAGGAGGACCACCATGGGCAGAAGTACAGCAAAAACAATTCAAGCAATATAGGATGTCCAACACTAAGGGAAATCTACGGAAACACAATGCAACGAAGCGATTAGCAGACATATATGACTTAAGCAAGATAACAACTCCACAACCATCGGCAAAGACCAAAGGAAAGAAATGATCACCAATTGTGATACCAATGTGGGGGCACCAAGCAAACGAGAACAACGCGCAATGAAGTAGTAATGCCTATGACGGTCCATGAAAGTAAGTAGAAAGGTACACAATAGATGTGCCTATTCGCAATGAAGTGGCAACAACCTACTAAAAGCATGTTGTAGGCAAGCGACTATGGTCATTGTGGTTGTTTCATGATAAATAAAACTAAGGGGGTTGAATCTCAACACTTCGACCCCGTCTACCTGCTTAGCCCAAGAATGTATTTATTTTACTTATATTTTGTAGCTCGGTCAGCCGAATACAATCTAACTAAGGTCAAGTTCAACACTTCGACCCCAGCTACCTACTTAGCCCAAGAATATCTTTATTCTACTTATATTTTGTAGCTCGGTCAGCTGACTACAATCTAACTAGGTTCAAGTTCAACACTTCGACCCTGGCTACCTGCTTAGCCCAAGAATATCTTTATTCAACTTATATTTTGTAGGTCGGTCAGCTGACTACAGTCTAAATAAGGTAAGTTCAACACTTCGACCTCGGCTAACTGATTAGCAAGAATATCTTTATTCTACTTATCTTTTGTAGCTCGGTCAACCGACTATAAACTAACTAAGTTCAAGTTGAACACTTTGACCTCGACTACCTGCTTAGCCCAAGAATATCTTTATTCTACTTATATTTTATAGCTTGGTCAGCCAACTACAATCTAACTAAGGTCAAGTTCAACACTTCAACCCCGACTACTTACTTAGCCCAAGAAAATCTTTATTCTACTTATATTTGGTAGCTCGGTCAGTCGACTACAATCTAACTAAGGTCAAGTTCAACACTTCGACCGTGGCTACCTGCTTAGCTCAAGAATATCTTTATTCTACTTATATTTTGTAGTTCGGTCAGCCGACTACAATCCAACTAAGTTCAAGTTCAACACTTAGACCCCGACTACTTGCTTAGCCCAATAATATCTTTATTCTATTTATATTTTGTATATCGATCAGCCGACTACAATCTAACTAAGTTCAAGTTCAACACTTCGACCCCGACTACCTGCTTAGCACAATAATATCTTTATTTCATTTATATTTTGCGGCTCGGTCCACCGACTACAAACTAATAAAGGTCAAAACTACCTATTTAGCCTTAGAGTATCCCCAACCTTTACCAAACATGGCAATTTGATCAGCGAACTATAATCTCATACACGTCAACATTTTCAAAACCCCGACCAACACTACTTGCTTGGCCAAAACAGGCGTTACTGTTCTAACTGTTGGATAAGGTGTCTAAGTCCATAACTATTTCTGGTATGTACTTGACCCGACCCGGCATGGTCCATTTGGGTTGCATGGCACCATGCAATTGGATAGACTAAATGAGAGAAATAACGCTTGGAGATTATTAATATATTATAAGTTCTAATATATTAATAATATTATTTGATTAGTTTGATCAAGAATTAATTTAGAATTAATTAAGTGATCAAAAGATAACTAATTAAATATATGGGTTGATTAAGTAAATCATCCATATCTTGTATAGTGGACTAAAAGGCTCCATGGATCATCAAGTTGTGTTCCACCCATAGGATGATCCATGGATGCTCCATGGGAGTTACAAACCCATGGGTCATGGAAATGAAGAGTCATGACACATTAGGGTTTAACCCTAGATGTGTCAACACTATATAAGTAATATGATCTCCTCCCAAATCGGTTACACACTAAGAATATAGAGGGCTTGGCCGATTTTGTGAAGTGAGTATTCTCTCATAAGTTCTTCCAAGAGCATTTGGTGTTGTGTGAAGCATTTGAGGCATCACACTTGGGGTGCTAGGCTCACAAGGTTTCAAGGAACACAAGCAACAACAAGGTAAGTTATTCTATCTATACTTTATGTTAAAATTGTTCCCCATGTATGCTAGATAGGAATATAACCTTGGAATTCAACTTTGCATGACAAATTAGACAAACATAGATCCAAGGTTATTAGGGTTGCATGTACACTTAGGAAGTGTTAGAATGCTCAAAACCCATCAGTGGTATCAGAGCCTAGGCTTGTTTGTTCTTATTTGTGCTTAAAAGTTGAAAACAGAATCGGAAATTTGCTGTCTGCGAATGGACTCGTCGAGTCTATAGGGGGGACTCGTCGAGTCCATGTGTATCTTCAACCAACTCGGCGAGTCATGTTCATGCACTCGGCGAGTAGGGTCGAATGAGTGCAGAATTTCGATTCAGTTGCTGGAAAATGAATTAGAAACATTACCCTAAACTGTTTTAGTAAATGTAAACTTGTTTTTGGTGGTGTAATGTCTTGCTAATTCATTTACAACAACTAGTTATCAAAATTACAAAGTTTTATGTAATTTTTGATTGTGTTCATATTCATGTTCTTGTTCTTATGATGTTTTAGATGATCATAGGAATTATTTGTAACCTATTTGGTAGTTTAATTCTTGATCATAATGTGTTTTAATGGAGTCCATAACTTATCCTTAAGTTATGGAAAACCAAGAGTCACACTTGAGTTAAAACCATTAAGAAAACACAAGAGTTATAAAAATGAAGAGTCTTCATTTTATTACTCTATTAAACTCATAAGTTACAAGAAATGAAAAGTTTTGAAAGTTACAAAACTTGCCCTCAAGTTTTGGAACAAGTAAAGTTAAGTTAAAACTTTAGTTCCAACCCCTAGAATTTTAAAAGTTAAAATTCAACCCTTATACTTATATTATGATGATTTAATAATTATATATATATGTATAAGAACAAGTCGTCTTACCGCTAGTACGCCTCATTCACGAAGCCGGTCTATAAGGTGGGTATAAGGTTGTTGCCTATAAAATGGTGACTTAATGGGTGTATATTCTCACCCACCGCTTGCTTGACTGGTGGAGGGTCGTTAGCCGAACGGGTAAGACAAGGACTTATAAATTCTCATTCAAAGTATGATGAATATATAAAGTAACTAAATGTTTATTAAATTCCCAATCTTAGTTACTTTAGGAAAAATGTGAATAAGGTGCTAATCCATGAAATTACACTTTACACTTTGTCTGAGTCGTTGGTGGAGCGTGTGTGGTTAACCGGCACACTAACTTGGACTTAACAAGGTAGGTAAAGGGTGACTTAAGGTTTATTATAGTATCGGTGGAGCGTGTGTGGTTTACCGGCACATCGATTGAGTGATAAACTTTAAGGGTACCAAGTGATTTGCATGGTTACTTCACACCTCGTTTTGTGATCCTCGGCATCCCAGTCACAAAACCTGGAGGGCACTCCCGAGATTGAAACATGCCTTTGAAAAGTTCATTGGATCTCAAAGAATCTAGGAATTTCTAAAACCAATAAAAACTAAATATTTAATATTTCGGTTTTCGTGGTGGAAATTGGTGAATCGTCATTCACCTACCTTTCA